GCGTTTGTAATATATTATATATATTTATTGTTATATATCGTAAAGTTATCTCTTGTAAAGCAATAAGTAAAAATAACAAAGTAAAGATAATAAAAATAAACTTCAGATTATATAATAAAAATGTTGCAAAGAAAATTAAGATTTTATAAAAATTTATAAAAAAGAAGAATTTGTAAAGAAAAGTATTTAAAGTAAAATTTATAATATTTTATGTACTTTTTCTCCAAAATACATTTTGTTTATATAAAATAACAAATTATGATGACAATAAATTGAATAAAGTTTTGTCGGGTTTGTAAGCCTAAACTGACAAAAATAATTTTGATTTATTTTTTAACTTAATAAGCACGATTGTGGGTGAAAAATATAGAAAGCTACTAAGAGAATTAAATGCAAGTAGGAGTAAAAAAGACTGGGGTATATATATCCATTTAAGTTATTAAAAGTATTGAAAACGAGTATTCTATATGCGATACGTGTGCTAGTATGTATAGTAACTATCAGAAAAGCGTGCCAAGCCATTGAAAATAATGCATCCCAAATGCAGTGGAGACAGAAAACACGATCCTCTTTTCCTCTTTTTTAATTGGAAAAATATATTTCTCTTATGTGCGTCGTTTCGCTCTTAATACGCGACGTAATTCAATCGCACGGAACGGAAGTTCCACCGTATTTCTGGCAGCGCTTCCGATTAATTGACTTTTTGGCAATCACCGTTACAGAGAGTCCTCGAGAATGCTAAGTGCTCCATTTCAGCGCGATCCGTTTCCCGCGAACGAGAAATCATCGAATTGTTATTTGGCGATGATGTTTTTACCTTCGAAAGTCTATTCAATATTTTAATGATGACGATATAATTTTTGGTTAGTTTGTATTTTTAATACGAATAAATAATGTCTTTTACACGTATCTAAAATATTCCTAAATAAAATAAATATATATATAATATAATATTTAAATACTTTTTTGCCGTATTTATCCCTCAATAGCAGCTTGATATAATCTGACGTTGTTCTATAGGTATTCATTGCAACTTTTTACTTCTGTTTAAAATTTACTTGTATTTTAATACAAAATAATGTTTCACAAATAGCGACGAAAGACATATACCATCGTGATATCTCTCTCCTGTGGGAAACAGAAGGAAAAACTGATTAGGACTATCAGAGCTGCGCCAATGGCATCTCAAAATATACGCGGCTTTGGACAAGAGAAAGGAGAAAGAGAAAGAGAGCAATCTGTAACTGCAATCCGCAGTTTCCTTTCCTTTTCACGCATTTACATCGAAATCCGTTCCTATGCATACACAGTTCTTCCATCTCTCCCTCTCTCTTTCTCTCGTAATCTCTGTGCCACCCCCTTACTCGCGCCTCTCTCGTTTCTCTCCCAGCGGAATATCCCACCTTGTCAGTCGTTTCTCTCTTTCTATTTTCTTCCCTCTCCCCCACATTTCCACCTGCACCCAGGTTTTGCGTTAATTTACACTCCTTGCTTCTTTTCCGACCGTTCCGTCTCCTTTCGCATGTCTGTCTTTGACGTTCTTTTACCCCTGCCACGCTTTACCTTCCCGGTATCTGTGTCTATCGGCTTTTTCTATACTGTTTTTTTATTATCGCTATATGGTTACATCTCGCAACCAACCGTACGAAAATGATGGTTTTTATCAAACCTTAGACACTTAAAAAATACTCTTATTAATACAATAATTGTGCTTCAAGAGAAATTTTTTAACTGCCAAATTCTTAAAATATTGTTACCTAATAAAATAATTCTAAAGAGAGAGTTTCCATTTAAAAAATCGTATAAGAATCGTATAAAGAACGTTCTGAGAATCGCAATCTTTTCTCTACGTGAGCAGCAAACATATTAAAAATCATTTTAGATGTCATTCGAAAAATGAAATATGATAAAGATAAAATGGATTTTTAAAACCACTTTATCATGCATATTCGAATAATTAGATTAAGAATAAGGTTTACGCATTTAAATCACAATACTTGTCTAGATAATTATATTCGCGATGGTCTCGTCACAATTTTGACTCGAGAAGTAACTCGCGCGAATTTTGCCACCCCCCTTCGAGGGTGAGAACTGAGTCACACGGCCGTAATCTTTCGCATAATAAATTGTCCCAGCGGCGATATCAACGGCGAGATCAGATGCTATCGGTATTATCTGTTACGGACGCGGGGAGGGAAAGGGTAGGTGGACGACCGCGGAAATCAGTGCCGCTCGCTCTGCGGGCCCGCCCTAAGGGCTTTACGCGAGTTACAAATGCGGTTTTGTATCTAGCTCTCGACGGGACAAAGTAATGGGCTTAGATAATCCTGATTTAATAAATCGAACAGTTGTGAGGCGACGCGCAATGTCGGTGTCGAGGGGAACGAAGGGGGAGGGAGAGAGAACGACAACCGCGCCGGTTCCCCGCCCCCGTTCCCTGCAACGTGCGCGTGACTAATGCGTTCAAAAACAAGATGGATGGATCCCGGCCAGGACTTTCTTTGCATTTACATTTTCGCACTGTATCAGTCGCGACGATTTAAAGAATAACGATCGGGAAGGGCTTTGCGGTTACATCCCCAAATCGGTTTTTCATCGTTTCATCGAGAAGAGATCGGAATTGCGACTGCGAATTGTCGGCCCTCATTTTTCGAACATTGCTCACAGAAATTTTCCTTATCATACAATGACTAATGCAATTTATCAAACGATATAAAAATAAAAATGTTACATTACTGTCAGAATCACGTAAATGGTATTTGATTGAAAAATGTATCTCTGATAAATAAATAAAAATTTAAGTAATTTTGATGAAAGCAACAAACTAACCGCATATTTTTTGGTCGTTTTACAAACAATAATTTTAATAAAAGTATTTCTGAATGTGCACATTTAGCAATTAACGAAAGGAAAAATGTTCTTATCTCGAAAAGAGAAGAACGTGATAAATCTTTATCCGACAAATCTGCAACATCCGCGTTCCTGGAAAAATAGGACATCGCATTTGAATTTATTAAGGGCTTAACTATAAGTGCTTTATCGTCTTTAAAGTTTGTTTTAGCAAAGTAAACAGGGTCGGTACTAATAGAGAGAAACTAGGTCGGCTCGCACGATCCCGAGGGGGAGTTCGGTAAACTTAGTATCAATTTTGATTGTCCTCAGTTTCTCCGATCCATTGAACGATATCTCTGAAATTGCGAATCCTCGCGGACGGAAGGAGCTTGTTTATCACGATTGCGAAATCACAATCGCATACAGGCAAGCCCGGCGATCGAGCATCTACTTTTCCATGCGAAATGCGTTTGTATATCTCGAGTAATATTATAAGATCAATATCGCTGTTCGATAAATCGATGCGTTATTAATCTTGGCATCTCTCTAAAAAAGGGGATCTTTTCTTTTTCTCTAATTAAAATATTTATCGAAAATATCTGCACTTTTATGTCGGAGAAAGAGAGAAGGATAAAAATTCTTTTAAATAAATTTTTGAAGAGATTTATTATAAATCAAAAGAAAGATTCTTTCAAAATTAAAGATTAAGCGACTTAAGAGGACAGCCTGATGTGCCGCCTAATCTTTTCCTCGCGTATCTCGCTTTCTTCCACCCTTTAGCTCTTCCTCTTGCTCTGTTTCTCTCTCTCTCTTTCTCTTTCTTTATGAAGACCAACATGAAATATAAATTGGACTTTCGTAGCCGGGCCGAACTGCTTTTTTACGTCCGGCATTTGCCTGCAGTCAATCCCTGCAGATTGTCCATTCGCCTGCCTCTCCGTTATCTTAATTCCTCGAGTATTTTAATTTTCATCCGAACAACCATTAACTTTTACGGCCGGCCGTTTACTTTTTAATTCGTTTACCGCTTCGCGCCCGTGCTCGCTCGCCGGGACGCTTATATCTTTAATTTAAGCTCTCGACTTGGCGGCCATTGAACAAGCCTGCGGATTGGGGTTGGATACGGAAGAGCGGCAGTGGCGGTGGCGGTGGCGGCAAACGGGATGGCCGGAGGGAGGGAGAGAGGACGAGGGAGCGAAGAGGAAGAGGAGGAGTTTAGCGGGGGCCACACGCTGGCATGGATCGGGGGTGGTTTGTGGGTGCAATCGCGCTACGGTGAAGCTTCCCCGTGCTCCCCTGACACCCGTTACGTTAATTAAATACATTGTTGCGGGGACACAGACTCCTACTGTGTATCTCGAGCTTTATAGGTGCAGAGGGGCACCTTAAGTTAGCGGCGTTTCCGACCCCCTTCCGGTCCCCGCGGGAGGCCAGTCGCCAATGAATTTTCTCCGGGACCTTTGCCCGTTAATTCAAATGTTATAGACGCCCGGTCTAGAGTCGAGGCCGGCGTATTAATCGAAAGAGGTCGAATGGACTCCGCGGGTGGGCGATGTTAAAGACGTCGAGAGTCGACTATTTCAATAATTCACCGGTCGATTCGCGTCGAAAGCTTTGCTCCACGATGGGGATTTTTACCTCGAGGGTTAATTCGTTCTTCGACAATCGAATTGAAACGTATTTGATAAGATTTAGAAAGTCATCTCATCGTGATTTCTACTCGTTTATCATTTATAACTTAGCTGAATAAACAAGAGGTTATCAAATTAGATGTCGGAATCTTTTTAACAATGATTAATTTTTAATAATGTAATAGAGAAAGAATTATTAGCGTTCTATTACAGTAACGAAATAATTATTAAAAAAGCTCGGAAATCTCTTCGATGCATTTTGTTGCACATTGTACGTCACAACATTTAATTTTCATATTACATACGACTTTAAGAATGTCACCTTGGACAAGTCTTTTTACCTTATTTTACATTTATCGCATCGCAAATAATATAAAACTGCAACATAAATATTCAATGACATTTTAAATTACAATTTTCGGAGACCGGCGAAATTTTTCGGAGATTGGATTTGAACTTAAACGAATGCGTCGGAGAATTAAAATCACGATTTAATCATGAACCTGTTAACACGGGCGTCCGTTTTCGGATTTCCAGGTGTGGTTCCAGAATCGGCGGACGAAGTGGCGGAAGAAGCACGCGGCGGAGATGGCGACGGCGAAGCGGCGGCAGGAGGAGGTCGAGGGCGTCGTCGCCGAGGGTGAGGACGGTTGCAGCGATGCTGAGGCCGACGGCGGTAGCGGCGGCGGTGGCGGCGGCGGTGGTGGCGGTGGCGGCGGCGGTGGTGGCGGCGAGACCGCCGCGAAGAGGCTGCGAAGGGAGCTCGAACAGCAGTACAGGCATTGAGAACCGCCGGGGACGGCGGGGGTTGCCCGGGGACACGCGGGGGCGCGAAAAAAGGGAAAAGAGGGACGCGGAGGAGAAGGATAAGGCGTGGCCCGGGGGCGGCGCGTTCCGGAGGGTTCCTCGCGGCTTGTTCGGAGAACAACGCGCGTGTCGGCTCAGAAATGATCGTGGAACGACTGTACGGCGGCGGCAGAAAGAGAAAGAGAGAAACGAAGAAAGAGAAAGAGAGAGGGAGAAAGAGAGACGTTTGTTGCACGAGTGTGTGTGTCCGCGTGTCTTTCTTCGTGATTTAGCCGGACGCTTAACGCGGCGTCGCGAGTGACGTACGGGATGTTCGGGAAGTCGCGCGTCTTCTCCGTATCACGGGAAAGTACGAGGGGACGGTTTTAAAATTTTAATAGAGAGCCGATTGAGAATTTTGAGGCTCGCCGAGTCGATTCTTATTGAGTTACGGGCGTAACGTCGGACGATCTATACGAAGGAAAGTATAGAGAGAGGATTTACTTTCGAGTTAACTTCCAGGTGAATTTTTGCCGGAGCGAAATTTTAATTAGAGAAGTTTAATTGTCGTCGCCTAGTCTTTCGTAAGGAGAACTTGATTTTCCAAGATTATATTAAGGAACTCTGCAACCGCGAGAGGAAGCGCGCGCGATTTACGGGACGTCCGATATGTCTAACGTTTGTACGAAACGAGACGTAAGTGTTTCTCGCGACAATACCGTGTCAGTATAGTCGACGACGATCGTGGCTCTTTGAAGCGAATCAATCTTTATGGTGATTGCCATTAATTTTGACCGTGTCAAACATTTCGTCCGGTTCTAACGGGCGTTTCGATTCGCTCTGAAACATTGCGAATTGCGAAGCGTTGATTTTGTTGATGGCGGATTTGTCGGTGCTCGAAAACCAGTAATGGTTTAAGTAAGTATTAACGAAACGACGAGAGAGAGAGATCATTTAAATCGAAATTAAGCGCTACAATGTATAAAGTGAAATACCATTTATTTATTTATTTTTTATCTCGATAAAAAATTTTTTTTATTATTATAAATATATTTATTATTATTTATTGTTGTGAATATTATTGTGAATATATCGCGATTATTAAATAGAACATTTTCGTGAGAAGAGTTTCTCATTAAATAAAAATTTCGAGGCACAATAAATCTGCCATCCGACAAAATGACAATTGGAATCCGAATTAAGTCCCGTTGCCAAACTGATCTCTATGATAATTCGAAAGCGTCGATAAAGACTACCGATTCGTCGCTGATCTCGAAATATGACGTCAAATCGCTCGACCAAATTGAGCGCGTTTATCGATCCGGAGACTTCAATTAATCGCGAGCAGTCACGATACCAATTTATTGTCATAAAGTGAGCTTGCTTTTGTGCGACTATACAGTAATATTTGTACGGCGACTTTCTAACTATCTTGCTCCAGGAAATAAATACGAATCTAATGTGTGATAAATGCTTCTAACGCAATCAGATTTGGTTGTCAAGCAAATATATCATATTAAATACTTACATTTATGTTAAAATTTATACTTTTCCGAACTCGATCATCGTGAAATAGCATACGTGATAAATTAACGTCATTTTAAATAATCGTTAAATGCCGTATCGATGAACTGATAATAGAACCCGTGTCTGTGTAGATTTAAAATCGGTTTGGTAGGCACAGTCACATGGCAGCTCGCTATGACAACACTCCTGTGTTGTTTGACAGGAAAATATAGCGACGTCCAAATATATCGTTAACCACCTTCTGGATCGCGACGTGTTACCATCCCCAAAATCTCTCGATCGCGTGTGCATATTTAGTCTGTAGCTGCGAGAGCTACATACGGAGGAATCGATAGGAAGGGTTTGCCGAGCTGCTTATGCGATGGCAGATTAGTCGCCGGGGGCTTTGTTATCCATCCGACAAACAACGCACGGCAAATATGGCAAACAACGCACGCGACGTAACGTCAGCCCCCGTCAAGAAGGTGTTAATGGATAACCATAAATCCCAGGGCCCCCGGCAATCTGTACGTCGTTCTAAACTAGTCGACTCGTCACCGGGAAAAAGGCGCAAATTATTCTCCCGATTGAATAAATAATAATATGCAAAAATGCGCTAGGCTCAAAACGCCCCGAGGAAATTACTCGCCATGCCTAGGCCATGCCATAAACACGCAACTGACCGTTTTTTTTATCGGAAAGCATTAAATATCGCGGATTCACGGATGTGACAAAGGCATGTTGCTTTACAGAAGGATAGTGCCGTTTAATATCCGCGACTTCGCGCTCGCGTGCCGCTTAATGAAACTATTTGCCAAATATGAAAGATATCTTTCTGATTTTGCAACTTTCTAATCGCATGTTGAATGACGTCGAGATTATAACTCAAATAACGCGAGGTGACAATTTAACCAACTGTACTGAACTAGTGATCTCGCTATCGACAAATAAAAATCGTTTGCCTCGGAAAAGAATTAAATTAATTTTAAAATTAATGTTATTTCCTGGAGAATTATAACTCTGCAAAACAGCTAAAAGCATTCCCTTGTTGGAAGAATTTTAAAATTATTAGAAAATTAATTCGTTTATCTTTGTATGATTTTATTCTTTACCCACCGATATTTATTTATTTGCCTAAACTGCCAGCAAGTGATGGAGATTTTTTTATCGTTTTTAACCATTTTAAAATTACGGCAAAGTCGCAGATCCACATCAAAAGAAAAGAAAATATATATCTGAGAGATAAATTATATACGTGAATTTTTTTAACACGTTCGAATGGACTTTGCGCGTCGACGGATCGCGCGAAAATGGACTTTGTATATTATGTAGATATACGATAAACGTGAATGTGATATCTAACGTATTTAATACGGCGTTCGGTCTAGGCGCGTAAGTGAAGTAAGTAGATATCGTCTATTGTAGACTAAAATAAAAAATGCAGAGGAATAGGAGAATATATATATATATATACATACACACACAAATATATATATATATATATAAATCGCACGTGGCGTGCGATCTAAACTCGTAACTCTGGCTCTGTTTTTTTCAGCT